TCGATAAAATAAATTAAAAATATATATACAATATGTTATAGTATAGTATAGTAATTGAAAATTAGTGTTTATGCTTCTTACTCAAGCTTAAATGAGGATAAAGCATGCATATAATACACGTCATATACACCACTCTGTTTATAAACTAAACTTAAGTAATACAGTCGATTGTCATGGCAAAATATAACTTTACTTCATCGAAAATCCCACAAATGAATGTGATATGCGAAAATGCCCGGCCTTCCTTGAAATTGACATCTGCTCTGTGACCCAAGAGCACACATCCGTGACAATGTGGCGGCGTGGTTAACGTGTCGCGATAAAACGCTGTACTTTTATGGTTCGAGTCCCACTGGGGCAATTGATAGGATATGGGCGAGGTCGAAACTACCGTCGACCCTGAATGAGAACAGGTTTTTGGAAAGCAAAGCTGTGTGAAATTCAATGGAAACTTCGGCTCTATTCATATCATTGTGGCAAAATTCAACTGCTAATCGTTCATTGAGCTAAACGAAATGGGGTGAATACGCATGGCTTTACAGTTTGTCCGTCAACGTCTACGAGAAGGGACAATGCGAAATGTGATCTCGGAATGGCCAAAGTTGGACCATGAAGAGTGGGCCTGGTGGAGAAGAGCGATCGCGTTAGTGACGAATGAGCGAAACAGTCGCTAAGCCGACAGCTTTGACTCTGTTTGACGGTGGGCCGGCTTATCTTGTTTGCCAGTTTGCGCAAGAAAAGAATGACTCGTCGCACCTACCAGAACAGACATGGCGACCTCAATGGACATGGGGTCGGCTGTAACATGCCTAAAGGTGATGTGAGCGGGAGGGGGCGGGGGGAGCTGAGATAAGAGGGGACAAGATGAGTCGACAGCAAAAGTTATCTGGTACCGAGCTCTCATGCTTTGTCGTGACATTCATGGTCTCATTTAGTATAAAATTGACCGGGGGTTAGCAAGCGAGAGAGAACGAAATAGAGCGACAACCAGCGTGTGGGAGAGAGAGATGCAGACAGTGTTGGGATCAGGGGCTGAGGCGGTTACATGAGCCGGCCGTGTGGCCATGTTAACAGGGTCCTGGAGACTGTAGCTGAAACGGAAAGTGTTGGTAAGATGGGGGGGGCGGGGGAGCGAGTAGTGGGCATGTGCGTGTGTCATCTTCATTGTCGGACTGATAACATCCATAACATATGATGTGACTAATCCATTCAACAGAGTGTGATTTGGTGACTAGGGCAAAGGATAAAAGGGAATTCGTTGCAACCGCAGGGACTAGTGCATTGGATCACAAAACAATTTTTGGTTGAATAGATCAGTTCACAAGAGGCTCAATCGAACTGGGCTAAACAACAATTCATACGAGTCCTGCCGTCCCAGGGACAAAGGCTCGATTATACAATAAATATATGATGTACAGATAGGTTTTGAAGAATTACATATTTAGAGAAATACTGGTTGAAAGGAATTTGCGAATTGGTCATACCGGAAAGCGAAAGGTGTATGCTGCGAATTGAATAAGCTTTTAGCTCACCGCCCTTCGACTCTGAGGAAGCTGTTTTAAGTTTTACTTTGTTTCGTGAAAGCTATTATCAAGGGAGGAAGAGGTATATTGGTGTGCTCTGATGCTGCTTGTCACGAAGGTACAGACAAAAGTTAGGCAACAATTTATCGAAGTCACAAAAAGGTGAACCAAATATTTCTTCGCACAACTCTCTTCGG